AAAAAAAAAAAAACAACAAAAACCCAAACCCAAAATTAAAGGTGTGTTATCTGATAGGGTAAAGAATTGGTGTGGCTTTCTGTTTTTAAAAGCAGTGTTCAATGAATAAAATAAGTGATAATAAAACCATCACATTCACAAAATACTAGTGTTAGCCTTGGGGATATGCTTAAGGATTGGGCTGTAACCAAGGCAACCCAATCTCCTGGAGGAAGTTTAAGTAGACAGTTTTAAAGCCATTGCTCAAAGATACAGTAAATCTGGCTCTAGGGCTACTTGTGACATATGGAAGGTGCCACAGCCACCCAACACAAAGCTCTCATCTTGGAGCAACTCAGCCTCCAGTCATCCAAATGTTACATTTTGATCAGCAGCCCATGTTCTCCTGCAGTTGGCATAAGGGTGACACAGGAGCTATTTCATGTGTTCTGGGTAATTTGACAGAAATGTGACTGTGGCCCTTGTATGATCGGGTGATAAAGAACCAGTCTGGTACTAATGCCGTGTGTCACACCATGCAATGGCTTTAAGTCTGTGCTTAAACAAACCCCAGAAAAATAAATATTTTGCTAAATTAGAACCTGATCCTGGGCCCTGTCTGGTCACACAAATCATGGGATCAGGCCCTACTTGCCAACAAATGCGCTAGACAAAGACAAAGCAGCATAAGCAGATACTGCAGACTGGAACAGAAATGTTTGTGTGATCTTCCAATTCTTTCTGAAAGGAACAGTTTGGACATTACCACAGCTACAGATGATGTGAATTTTTGTCATGGCTAAGAAGTCAAACTTCAGAAAAGCAAAGTCTCTTTGGCAAAAAGACTCCTTCTTTGGAACATATAAACATGATAACAATATAAATATGTGATAAATATTGTGATGAAGCCATATCCCAGTGGTTTTTAATTGCAGTGCAATAGAGATAAATCCCATCAGCATTTCCTAATTTAATCCTGAAACATCAGAGGGGAGACTTCCACATGTGGGTGATGAGACCCTCTGTGATGTGTATACAATATCTTTCAAATATATTTATAGTAATTTTGGAAAACAAAAGCACACAGAATGAATAAGAGGGTTTTGAACACTCCTTCCAACAGGCAGATGGCTTTGGTATTTAGGGGTGAAAAAAGCCCCTCATAGTACCTTTGCACAGATGTGTCAGGTCTAGAAACCAGCCACAGCACCTCAAACAACAGCACTGTTCAATCTTTGTCAATCATATTTCACCCATGGAGTATTTAATGCTTGAAAAGTTTGGCTCTCACCTTCCTGCATGCCAACCCAACACCCCACAGCACTCTCACAAACAGAGAGGATTCAGAGCTACATCTTCTGGCTGGCCCTATGCATTGAAATGGGCTGGAATCCCAGGCCTACATAGCAGTGAACGTTTCTGGAAAGAGAAGACAGAGCTCCAGAAATCAGTAGTTTGGGGTAGTCTGTGACTGGTTTAATTCCCATAGAGTGTCTGGGAAATTGCAAAGAAGCTCTCTCATGCAGAGAGCAGAAGACAAGGAGCTATATGACTCACTCCAGTCCAGCCTATGGCAGGGCAATAAAAAGCCCAAAGGCTCTGAATTTGAGTCCTCCTTAGTCTAGGCCACATTTTGCTGGAAGGCACAGCAGCCTGTTCCCATCAGTTACCCCAGTGTTATTCAGGAGAGTCTCATCAGTCACTTGATTTAAAACTCACAAGAGTGAGGAAGACCAGAGCTCTGTTTCTGCCTGTTGAATGGCTCATTCTGCACCCAAATGCATGACATTACCATTTGTGATTGTAACCCAGCAGTGACCTCCCTTGTTGTTGCAGGGTCAGTTCAAACTCGATTTGCTCAATATTTGCAAGGCTTTTTTGACTGATAGTGGTGCAGACTGCACGTCAAGAAGGGAGCTCAGAAGGACCTTACATGCCACGGCTCAGGGAGCAGGAGCCCAAGTGGAACCTGGTGGGAGCCAGGGTGCCAAAAAATCTGTTTACGTCTGAGACAGTAAAATTCTTGCAGGTCAGGGTAGAAATCCAGTATAAAAAGTCAAACTGCTTCAGCACAGCCCCTATGGTGCTGAAGGAAGTCTTTTGCTCAATGATGCCACCCTTCTACAAAGAAGGATTCATTTCAAGCTGTGAATTTTGGGAAACTTCCCTGACACTGATGAAGTTTGCCAACTTATAAACCATGTAAGGAATGGAGGTTTCAGACTGGTATTCCTGCATTTGAATTTACCACATACAGCTGAAGTTACTGAATTTCACAGTGCTCTTCCAGAAAGGTTAGTGCTAAACTGAAACGAAATGCACCATTTGTAGGAGCTGCAGTATCATATCACAATTTTTCCTTTCTTTCCTATCAGTTCAGCTCATCTAACTTTTCAGCATTAGTGGATGTAGTTATTCTCTATAACAGAGTCCCAATATAAAGATGAAAACACCACATCCTTATTGTTTTTCAGTGGGATGCATGAAAACAATTTTTGTAACTTACTCTTGAAAAGTAGCAGTTTGTCACTTATATGGTCAATCAGCCTGCAACTGTTTCAATTCTGTTTCTTAATATAAGTGCAAAGAAAGGTATTTTCCTTGATTACATCTGCAAATAAGATATTAATGTCAATTCAGTGATATGAAAATTACTCCCTCACTGTAATTTGCACCTTAGTTATTATGGGTTTCATGAACAAGACTATAACAGCTGCTCAGAGTGCTGTGGATTTCTAATTTTTTGATTTGTTTTTAATTAACCAAACTTAAAAAAAAGCAACAAAAAA